TTACTGGGGAACTTCCCTGCCATGTTACTGGGGAACTTCCCTGCCATGTTACTGGGGGATTTCCCTGCCATATCACTGGTGGGAGAATTTCCCTGCCACATTACTGGGGAACTTCCCTGCCATATCACTGGCTGGGGGATTTCCCTACCACATCACTGGCTGGGGGATTTCCCTACCACATCACTGGGGGATTTCCCTGCCATATCACTGGCTGGGGACCTTTCCTGCCACATTACTGGGGATTTCCCTGCCATATCACTGGTGGGGGAACTCCCCTGCCATATCACTGGGGGATTTCCCTGCCATATCACTGGATGGGGGATTTCCCTGTCACATCACTGGGGGATTTCCCTGCCATATCACTGGCTGAGGGATTTCCCTGCTACATCACTGGGGATTTCCCTGCCATATCACTGGCTGGGGGATTTCCCTGCCACATCACTAGGGGATTTCCCTGCCATATCACTGGCTGGGGGATTTCCCTGCCATATCACTGGGGGATTTCCCTGCCATATCATTGGCTGGGGAATTTCCCTGCCACATCACTGGGGGATTTCCCTGCCATATCACTGGCTGGGGGATTTCCCTGCCATATCACTGGGGGATTTCCCTGCCACATCACGGGGATTTTCCTGCCATATCACTGGCTGGGGGATTTCCCTGCCATATCACTGGGGGATTTCCCTGCCACATCACTGGGGGATTTCCCTGCCACATCACTGGGGGATTTCCCTCCCACATCACTGGGGGATTTCCCTGCCACATCACGGGGATTTCCCTACCATATCACTGGCTGGGGGATTTCCCTGCCATATCACTGGGGGATTTCCCTGCCACATCACTGGGGGATTTCCCTGCCACATCACTTGGATTTCCCTGCCACATCACTGGGGGATTTCCCTCCCACATCACTGGGGGATTTCCCTGCCACATCACGGGGATTTCCCTGCCATATCACTGGCTGGGGGATTTCCCTGCCATATCACTGGGGGATTTCCCTGCCACATCACTGGGGGATTTCCCTGCCATATCACTGGCTGGGGGATTTCCCTGCCATATCACTGGGGGATTTCCCTGCCATATCACTGGGGGATTTCCCTGCCACATCACTGGGGGATTTTCCTGCCATATCACTGGCTGAGGGATTTCCCTGCCATATCACTGGGGGATTTCCCTGCCACATCACTTGGGATTTCCCTGCCACATCACTGGGGGATTTCCCTCCCACATCACTGGGGGACTTCCCTTTCACATCACTGGGGGATTTCCCTGCCATATCACTGGCTGGGGGATTTCCCTGCCATATCACTGGGGGATTTCCCTGCCACATCACTGGGGGACTTCCCTGCCACATCACTTGGGCATTCCCTGCCACATCACTGGGTATTTCCCTGCCGCATCACTGGGTATTTCCCTGCCACATCACTGGTATATTTCCCTGCCACATTATTATAATCAAAAAGAAGCGCTAAGCCACAAGGACTATACAGCTTTCCCTGCCACATCACTGGGTATTTCCCTGCCACATGGGCATTTCCCTGCCACATCACTGGGTACTTCCCTGCCACATCACTGGGTATTTCCCTGCCACATCACTGGGGTATTTCCCTGCAACATCACTCGGCATTTCCCTGGGGAAATTCTCTGCCACATCATTGGGAAAATTACCTGCCATACTTGGGGAAATTCTGCCACATCACGGGAAATTCCCTACCACATCACTGGGGAAATCCCCTGCCACATCACTGGGAAATTTCCCTGCCACATCTTTGGGAAAATATCCCGCCACATCACCGGGAAAATTCCCTACCATATCACTGGGAATGTTATGTTAATCAAGGGGAAGCGCTAAACCCGGAGGATTATACAGCGCCTGATATCACTGGGAAAATTCCGTTTCTGGAAGGGATTATTATTATAATCAAGGGGGAAGCGCTAAACCCGGAGGATTATACAGCGCCTGGGGGGGAGATGTGGAAGGCATTCAGGCTTAATTCGGGGAACTGGAGCACAGATCCAATTCCCTATTATTATTATAATCAAGGGGGAAGCGCTAAACCCGGAGGATTATACAGCGCCTGGGGGGGGGGATGTGGAAGGCATTCAGACTTAATTCGGGGAACTGGAGCACAGATCCAATTCCCTAAATCAAGAGCCCCTCACCAACATCAAGGAACCTTCCTTGAGGGGTCCAATTCCCTAAATCAAGAGCCCCTCACCAACATCAAGGAACCTTCCTTGAGGGGTCTGGAAGGGAGAATTCCTCTTTCTTCACCCAAAGGGGAAATTCCCTCCCTATTCACCCAATGGGGAAATTCCCTCCCTATTCACCCAATGGGGGAAATCACAGGGGGTCAATTCACAGCTCCTGGCCATGAAAAACACTCTCAGGGCCATTAAGCTGGGAGAAGGATCCTATGAGAATGGAGAAAGGCTCTTGATTCGAGGAAGTGGTGTTGTCCTGAATCACTGCATTTACAGGCTAACAGCCGTTATCCTGTGGCTTAGTTGGTAGTGCACTCACCTTGCACACTTTGAGTGTCTGGGTTCAATCCCCGGCACAGGTCGAAATGCTGGACGTTTCCTTACATCAGCTGTCGTTGTTCACCTAGCAGTAAGTAAGTACCTGGGTGTCAAGTCACCTTACACCTAGACTGGGATTATTGTATTTACGGGGAAGCACTAAACCAGTAAGGGTCATAAAATTCAAGGAAAGGGAGGCAGTGTCAAATACCATCAAGAGGACAACTGGAGCCAAGGAACCTCCCTCGAGGGTTATTCTATTTGGGGAAGCACTAAACTCAGAGGGCCACTAGCATCTGCCGGATAGAAGCTGACTGTAGTTGATCCAAGGGGAAGCTAGCTCCTGTTCCTTGACCGAAAGCCCACACCAGCATCAGAGCATCCTTCCGTTGAGGAAAAAGGGGGTTATTAAATTTACTGGCAAGAGGTAAACCTGTAGGAGTCGTACAGCATCTTGAGAATGAGGGCTGACCAAGTGTCATCCAAGGGAAGGGTAGCTCTAATTTCTTGGATTAAGAGGCATGCAATTTCTCCCATCTTCTAATACCATGTTCATTTTTCCACTATTTTCTACCTTGTCCATAATTACTATCGTATTTGCTAAAGCAAATGCGATAGTAATTATGGAGAAGGTAGACTATAGTGGAAACATTAACATTATTATTTTTATTATAATAAAAAAGAAGCGCAAAGCCACAAGGGCTATACAGCGCTGCAGGGTAGGGAAGGAAGCAAGGGAATTGGATGGCAGAAGGGAGGGGGGATGATCAGCAGGTTACAGAAAACAGCGGGGCAGGGGATAGTACGGGGGTAGAGGGTAGCAAGAGATTGAAGTAGAAAGGGCTGAAGGTATCAGAATTTGTGAAGGGAAACATTAACATGTTTTTAGAAGACAGGGGTACTTACGTGCCCTTCACTGGGGTACTTACATGCCCTTCACTGGGGTACTTACATGCCCTTCACTGGGGTACTTACATGCCCTTCACTGGCATTCAGGAGCATCCCCTCCCTTAAAGGGTCGACTCTGTATACAGGTTTCAGCATTCATTTTTAATCCGTAACAAATCCACAGGGGTCATAGTGCCTGCAGACTGAGAGGCAATTAAGTTTGATCCAAGGAAAGGGAAGAGGAGCCCAGTTCCTTGGATCAAGAGTCACCTTGCCACCATCAAGGCATTATCATGGGGGAGCACTAAACTGGTAAGAATTATAGAGCTTGTGAGGTTGGGGGGTTAGAAGGCATTCAGGCTTAATTCAGGGAACTAGAGCACAGATCAAAGTCCCTGGATCAAGAACCCCTCACCAGCATCAAGGAATCTCCCTTGAGAAGTCCATGGTCTGAGTTCAATCAACCAACCTTATTGAAATAGTTTGAGGTGGTCAGTCCCTCAACCTGGAGAAAAGCTCAGCTCTACAATCCGATTCTCCAGGCTGAGGGACTGACCACCTCAAACTATTTCTACAAGGTTGATGGACTGATAGCATCTTTTACCTCACCACTTCTGCTGCTGTCAACCTATAGTGTGTCTGACTGAAAAAGTCTACCATGTAGGTGAACAATTCAACTATAAATATACCCAACTGTTGCACACGTTTCTTACTAACTTAGTGCAGGTAAAGACACAAGCACACAGCTTCCGTCCCCAGGGCAGTAGAACCCCCTTATCTGTGGACTTGGTTTCCGTGGTTTCAGTTATCCAGTTTACCGTGGTCCGAAAATAACCCTTAATTTTGCTTGACACCAAAGGCGCAATAGTTGTGATGGCGGCAGATGTTCAAAGCCTAAGAGAAGTCGTGAAGTTCTTCCCATCAGTGAAAAAGTGATAATTTTTAACCTGTTGTGCATAATTTATCAATTAAGACTATCATAGGGATGTATGTAAACAAATAATGATTCATATATACGTAGTTATTTTCATATAGTCGGACTTGAGTCCTGGAGATGGGAAGTACAATGCCTGCACTTTAAAGGAGGAGTTTGGGATATTGGCAGTTTGGAGGGATATGTTGTGTATCTTTATAGTACGTATATGCTTCTAAACTGTTGTATTCTGAGCACCTCTACAAAAACAGTGATAATGTGTGAGTGTGGTGAAAGTGTTGAATGATGATGAAAGTATTTTCTTTTTGGGGATTTTCTTTCTTTTTTGGGTCACCCTGCCTCGGTGGGTCACCCTGCCTCGGTGGGTCACCCTGCCTCGGTGGGTCACCCTGCCTCGGTGGGTCACCCTGCCTCGGTGGGTCGCCCTGCCTCAGTGGGTCACCCTGCCTTGGTGGGAGACGGCCGACTTGTTGAGAAAAAAAAAAAAAATATATACGTAGTTGGCTACTATCCGCAGTTTCAGGTATCCATGGTAGGTCTTGGTATGCGCTTTTTTGATTATTTTCACAGGATGACGTTCTTGAGTTTTATTACCACACTTGTGTGACGGCAGAAAAAAAAAATGCAACTTCACCCTTCTTGAAATTAACACGCATAAACAAATACATTTTATTTCACGTATCAAACATGTATCTTACGAGGTTCTTAAATACGATGTAATAAAAAATACTCTAAGAAACTAGTGAATTAGACCTTACAAATCCTCTCAATGTTTCCTAGGCTACAAATAAATTTTTGTTCACTTACAAAAGAAGTTCTCTTGGGAATCACTAAAACAAACACATTGTACAACAGTTTACAGATATCCACTGACAAGTAATGAACAATTTAGACAGGAACGTTTGGACAAATTTCAACACACTACAGATGCTCCTTGCTTTATGAGGGCGACTTACAATATTTTGACTTTACGATGATGTGACATCACCAACGTAAAGCCAAAATACCACCATCGTACAGTACTGTACATTTATTGATAGGATAAACTTGTATTCATTTATTTACTTTTCAATAATAATAGTTACAGTGGGAGACGGCCGACTTGTTGAAAAAAAAAAAAAAAAAAATTTAGCATACATTCATATTCGATAAAATATTTTCAGCTAATAATGGGTTTGTCAGAACGTAACCCGAGCATAAGTCAAGGACCACCTGCACCGACTTGATAATGTTCCATTACTCACCAAATTGTAACCAAAAGATTCCTCTCCAAATTATGGTCATGAAATATTTTAGACATGGTATAAGGACCCTTTTTTGGTTTTATATGAAGTTCAAACTAAATCTGGTGTTGGTAACTCCGCTCCTGGTTTCATACCAGTCACTGACCCTCCCCTCCGTGGTGCACTGTTTTGATGGGTAACCTTGGAATGAGTTTAAGTTGCGATACTTAGACGTATCTCGGTGGGTATTTATCTTGTGTTTTACAATTCGATTATGTCGTCCTCTGATGTTTCCTGGCGTAACTTTTTTCTAGGTTGCTGCGCTCCATCCTCAGAAATTTTCCTCTTCTTGGTGTCGTCGTTCTCGTCATCCAGACACACGAGATCGTTTTCATCATCGGAGCCCATGACAGAGGATGCAGCCGTAGCGCCATCTGTGAAAGACAATTTTTTTATTTAACATTTTAACATTGGCATAAGGGGGATTACCAATAGAGCCCTGGCTGCCTTCAAGACTGCCTGGCTGCCTTCAAGACTGCCTGGCTGCCTTCAAGACTGCCTGGCTGCCTTCAAGACTGCCTGGCTGCCTTCAAGACTGCCTGGCTTCCTTCAAGACTGCCTGGCTTCCTTCAAGACTGCCTGGCTTCCTTCAAGACCACTGGACTGCCTTCAAGAGGGAGTTTCAGTTTTGAAGAGGCAGGAGGTACACTGCCTGCACTCTGAAAGATGGGTGGGGATGCTGCAGTTCTGAGGGTGGGAAGTAGAGTGCCTGCACTCTGAAAGATGGGTGGGGATGCTGCAGTTCTGAGGGTGGGAAGTAGAGTGCCTGCACTCTGAAGGATGGGTGGGGATGCTGCAGTTTTGAAGGCAGGAGGTACAATGCCTGAACTCTGAAGGATGGGTGGGGATGCTGCAGCTCTGAAGGTGGGAAGTAGAGTGCCTGCACTCTGAAGGATGTGTGGGGATGTTGCACTACAGAGTCGTTTGAATTTTGATATCCACATGCTTAACAAGATCGTTATTGAACGAATGATGGTGAATGAGTTCCCATCTTTGGGACACACTGCTTAAATGGCAAAAATGAAAAAAAGACACCTACATAGTAACAGTGGACTTTCCATTGAATATTGTAGGTTATCAAGAGTACAAATATACCAACCGCACCTGGGCCGTTGGCAGCCGTCTCTGCTGCCGTCGACGCCTTCGCTTGCTCCTCCTGTGCCTTCTTCAGTTCATCAATGTTTCCAATCACTTCAAATTCTGCACCGTCTTCAAGTTTTTCGCTGCAAAGGACAAAGAAATTTGACATTTAGAGACGTTTTGCTTGGAGAGTGAGCCTGTCGAGTCTATGAAACATGAAAATATCAGTCTCCAAACAAAACATTCAGCTGTCTCCCACTGAGGCAGGGGGACCCAAACAAGAAAAAAGAAAACTGTTCTTGTTTTTATATTTAGTAATTCATACGAAGAACTGCAATCTTTTGTCTAGCCAGTGTGAGTTATGAGATATTGTACCTTGATCACCATTAAGGACACTAACCAGTGAATCAAAGCATCTACTGTACCATATTTCCTGGTGTGAATTATGAGATATCTTGATCATCATCAAGGATACTGACCAGTGAATCAAGGGACCCACTGTACCATGTTTCCTGGTGTGAATTATGAGATACCTTGATCACCATCAAGGACACTAACCAGTGAATCAAGGGGCCTACTGTACCATGTTTCCTGGTGTGAATTATAAGATACCTTGATCACCATCAAGGACACTGACCAATGAATCAAGTTGACAGTCAGAGTGTAGTTCTGGAGGAAGTCGTCACAGTTGAGGAGGGTCCCGTCGGTGATGTTAAACTCCTGAAACACAATGTTAACATTAACATACACTCAGTTTACCAAGAAAAACTTCTCATAGATTACCAAACAAAATTTGTAGTCAATCAAACAAAATTTCTGTCTACCAACTTCTAATTTTCTATATACCAAACAAAACTTTTCATCCCCTACCTAACAAAAAGTTAACAAGCCTTCCAAAGAGGTCTTTTCAAAGCAGACTGAGCCTAAAATTTTTCACAGCCTACCAAACACAAAATTATGATTAATAAATAACCATTGACTTATTTGGACATGTTAAAATGAAAAGTACAGTAATGCCTCGACTTACAAACATATTGGGGACCTCTTGAATTGTGGATAATGATGTATAATAATGATATCATACACAATACAGAATATTCTTAATGTGCGAGGATTTACTGTACTCCGACGTGTTCAAAAATGGAAGGCAGCAATGTGATAAACAAATAGGATCACCAACCTTAAGCATCTTATCATTATTGCCTTCAGTCTCCCCCTCCTCCGACGATATAAGGATGGTGCCCTTCCCGTCGGATATTTCCACGTCGGGGGCGACCATGTTGAGCGCTGTCTTCAGAATTTTCTCTTCCAGCGTTCTGACGGTGGTCTTTTCCACATTGAGACGCACGCACACTTCGGGCTTCTCCGAGCACACGTAGCATTTGGGATTTGGCTTGTCCAGGGCACAGGGAACCAATAGCCGTTTCCGTGGATTGGGCTTGCGATTCAGATATACCTAAAAAATAAAAATCTGTTAGAGAAGGACTAGGTGAAATAATGATAAAAGCTACTTTTGTCTGAGACAAAATAAAAGAAATACACTCAACAATTTTATCCATGAGGTGTCTGGAGAATAATCCTTACAGTAAGGGTCACCCCTGTCTTGATACACTGAATTTATAAATTAAGATTCCTTTAGTTTATGCTTAAGACAAACAATAGAACTCTGATAGGCACACAACAAAGATTACTACGGCATCCATCTTCCTTCTTGTAGCAACTAAGAATATTAACAAGATGTGCTAAACCTGTAAGGATCATTCAGTGCCTGGGGAATGGGAGGTAGTCTTAGGGAAGTGGGAAATTCAGAGGCAGTACCAAAGGCTGTACATCACTCCCAACTGTAGACTCAAATAATTACGTACACCAGTCCATGAGGTGTGACAATCAGTTGATAGTTACTGCTGTGACTACTAATAGGTAGTTGCAATGATAGGGAAAAACAGCAACAAGGACTAAACTGAAAAAACATTTCTCACTAATCACATAATATTAAAAGTTGAGAGTGAATGGTGATAAGAAGTTTTTAATGTGCGTGTTGTAGGTATGTGAGTGTGATAACATTTATGAGGGGATTCAGGGCAACTGGTTAGCCAGAGTCTTGGAGGTTGAAGGTGGGAAGTACAGTGCCTGTTCTTTGAAAAAGTGAAGGTAGGAAGTACAGCGTTTGCACTCTGAAAGAGCAGACGCAGAAAGTAGGCTGCATTCTGAAGGATGTGTGAGGTTGCAGTTCAGAGGGTAATCTGAACTGTGATATCAGCACACTTCTGGCAAGACAGTCACTGAATGAATGAGGATGAATGTGTTGCCTTCTCTGGGGTCACCCTATCTTGGCAAGAGAACTGTCAAAGTAAAAAAAAAAAAAAAAAAACACTACATTCAACGTACCGTTTTACATTCATTGGTGCGACCTTGGAGGATCTTCATAGCCTCTAGAACGATGAGTCCTGCAATGATGGCATTAGTAGTGGCTATAGCTGGAATGATGTTGCCAGCCATGGCTGCAAGAAAAATTTTAATGTTAGTTGGCAGGCTCAATCAATTATGATGTTATTTACTAAAGATTAAAAAGACTGGTTGCTGGACTTGAGGTCTGGAAGTGGCAAGTACAGCAGCTACACTCAGGAGGAGGAGTGGTGATGGGAAGTACAGTTTCTGCACTCTGAAGGAGTGGTGGTGGGAAGTACAGTGCCTGCATCCTGAAGGAGTGGTGGTGGGAAGTACAGTGCCTGCATCCTGAAGGAGTGGTGGTGGGAAGTACAGTGCCTGCACCCTGAAGGAGTGGTGGTGGGAAGTACAGTGCCTGCACCCTGAAGAAGGGGTGGAATTGAGAAATATAGCACCTGCAACCTGAAGGAAGGGGGGATATAAGAAGTACAGTGCTTACACTCTGAAGGGGTGATGGTGGTATTGGGAAATACAGTGCCTGCACTCTGAAGGAGTGATGGTGGTGCTGGGAAATACAGTGCCTGCACTCTGAAGGAGTGATGGTGGTGTTGGGAAATACAGTGCCTGCACTCTGAAGGAGGGATGGTGGTGTTGGGAAATACAGTGCCTGCACTCTGAAGGAGTGATGGTGGTGTTGGGAAATACAGTGCCTGCACTCTGAAGGAGTGATGGTGGTGTTGGGAAATACAGTGCCTGCCCTCTGAAGGAGGGATGGTGGTGTTGGGAAATACAGTGCCTGCACTCTGAAGGAGGGATGGTGGTGTTGGGAAATACAGTGCCTGCACTCTGAAGGAGGGATGGTGGTGTTGGGAAATACAGTGCCTGCACTCTGAAGGAGGGATGGTGGTGTTGGGGAAATACAGTGCCTGCACTCTGAAGGAGGGATGGTGGTGTTGGGAAATACAGTGCCTGCACTCTGAAGGGAGGGATGGTGGTGTTGGGAAAACAGTGCCTGCACTCTGAAGGAGGGATGGTGGTGTTGGGAAATACAGTGCCTGCACTCTGAAGGAGGGATGGTGGTGTTGGGAAATACAGTGCCTGCACTCTGAAGGAGGGATGGTGGTGTTGGGAAATACAGTGCCTGCACTCTGAAGGAGGGATGGTGGTGTTGGGAAATACAGTGCCTGCACTCTGAAGGAGGGATGGTGGTGTTGGGAAATACAGTGCCTGCACTCTGAAGGAGGGATGGTGGTGTTGGGAAATACAGTGCCTGCACTCTGAAGGAGGGATGTGTGGTGTTGGGAAATACAGTGCCTGCACTCTGAAGGAGGGATGGTGGTGTTGGGAAATACAGTGCCTGCACTCTGAAGGAGTGATGGTGGTGTTGGGAAATACAGTGCCTGCCCTCTGAAGGAGTGATGGTGGTGTTGGGAAATACAGTGCCTGCACTCTGAAGGAGGGATGGTGGTGTTGGGAAATACAGTGCCTGCACTCTGAAGGAGGGATGGTGGTGTTGGGAAATACAGTGCCTGCACTCTGAAGGAGGGATGGTGGTGTTGGGAAATACAGTGCCTGCACTCTGAAGGAGGGATGGTGGTGTTGGGAAATACAGTGCCTGCACTCTGAAGGAGGGATGGTGGTGTTGGGAAATACAGTGCCTGCACTCTGAAGGAGGGATGGTGGTGTTGGGAAATACAGTGCCTGCACTCTGAAGGAGGGATGGTGGTGTTGGGAAATACAGTGCCTGCACTCTGAAGGAGGATGGTGGTGTTGGGAAATACAGTGCCTGCACTCTGAAGGAGGGATGGTGGTGTTGGGAAATACAGTGCCTGCACTCTGAAGGAGGGATGGTGGTGTTGGGAAATACAGTGCCTGCACTCTGAAGGAGGGATGGTGGTGTTGGGAAATACAGTGCCTGCACTCTGAAGGAGGGATGGTGGTGTTGGGAAATACAGTGCCTGCACTCTGAAGGAGGATGGTGGTGTTGGGAAATACAGTGCCTGCACTCTGAAGGAGGGATGGTGGTGTTGGGAAATACAGTGCCTGCACTCTGAAGGAGGGATGGTGGTGTTGGGAAATACAGTGCCTGCACTCTGAAGGAGGGATGGTGGTGTTGGGAAATTACAGTGCCTGCACTCTGAAGGAGGGATGGTGGTGTTGGAAATACAGTGCCTGCACTCTGAAGGAGGGATGGTGGTGTTGGGAAATACAGTGCCTGCACTCTGAAGGAGGGATGGTGGTGTTGGGAAATACAGTGCCTGCACTCTGAAGGAGGGATGGTGGTGTTGGGAAATACAGTGCCTGCACTCTGAAGGAGGGATGGTGGTGTTGGGAAATACAGTGCCTGCACTCTGAAGGAGGGATGGTGGTGTTGGGAAATACAGTGCCTGCACTCTGAAGGAGGGATGGTGGTGTTGGGAAATACAGTGCCTGCACTCTGAAGGGGGGATGGTGGTGTTGGGAAATACAGTGCCTGCACTCTGAAGGAGGGATGGTGGTGTTGGGAAATACAGTGCCTGCACTCTGAAGGAGGGATGTGGTGTTGGGAAATACAGTGCCTGCACTCTGAAGGAGGGATGGTGGTGTTGGGAAATACAGTGCCTGCACTCTGAAGGAGGGATGGTGGTGTTGGGAAATACAGTGCCTGCACTCTGAAGGAGGGATGGTGGTGTTGGGAAATACAGTGCCTGCACTCTGAAGGAGGGATGGTGGTGTTGGGAAATACAGTGCCTGCACTCTGAAGGAGGGATGGTGGTGTTGGGAAATACAGTGCCTGCACTCTGAAGGAGGGATGGTGGTGTTGGGAAATACAGTGCCTGCACTCTGAAGGAGGGATGGTGGTGTTGGGAAATACAGTGCCTGCACTCTGAAGGAGGGATGGTGGTGTTGGGAAATACAGTGCCTGCACTCTGAAGGGGGGATGGTGGTGTTGGGAAATACAGTGCCTGCACTCTGAAGGAGGGATGGTGGTGTTGGGAAATACAGTGCCTGCACTCTGAAGGAGGGATGGTGGTGTTGGGAAATACAGTGCCTGCACTCTGAAGGAGGGATGGTGGTGTTGGGAAATACAGTGCCTGCACTCTGAAGGAGGGATGGGGTGTTGGGAAATACAGTGCCTGCACTCTGAAGGAGGGATGGTGGTGTTGGGAAATACAGTGCCTGCACTCTGAAGGGGATGGGGTGTTGGAAATACAGTGCCTGCACTCTGAAGGAGGGATGGTGGTGTTGGGAAATACAGTGCCTGCACTCTGAAGAGGGATGGTGGTGTTGGGAATACAGTGCCTGCACTCTGAAGGAGGGATGGTGGTGTTGGGAAATACAGTGCCTGCACTCTGAAGGAGGGATGGTGGTGTTGGGAAATACAGTGCCTGCACTCTGAAGGAGGATGGTGGTGTTGGGAAATACAGTGCCTGCACTCTGAAGGAGGGATGGTGGTGTTGGGAAATACAGTGCCTGCACTCTGAAGGAGGGATGGTGGTGTTGGGAAATACAGTGCCTGCACTCTGAAGGAGGGATGGTGGTGTTGGGAAATACAGTGCCTGCACTCTGAAGGAGGGATGGTGGTGTTGGGAAATAGTGCCTGCACTCTGAAGGAGTGATGGGAGATGTTACAGTTCAAAAAACTACATAAACTGTGATATTTGCGCACCTCTGACAAGATAACTTATCTGGCAACTCTAAAGAGATGTGAATAAATGGTTTAAAAACCCAACAAGCTGATAAATAAAACACTTGTGCAACAAAGATAACTGGTGGCCTGGTGGTTAACGCTCTCGCTTCACACGGTGAGGGCCTGGGTTCGATTCCCAGCCAGAGTAGAAACATTGGACGTGTTTCTTTCCACCTGTTGTCTATGTTCTCCATCAGTAAAATGGGCACCTGGGTGCTAGTCGACTGGTGTGGGTCGCATCCTGGGACACTGACCTAAGGAGGCCTGGTCACAGACCGGGCCGCGGGGGCGTTGACCCCCGGAACTCTCTCCAGGTAAATCTTGCAAAAGCGTCTCATTTATTAACTTTGAAGAGTGTATTAACCCGTAAACGGTCCAAGCAGATCTACGTTCACATGTGTAGAGCTACAAAAGTAGATCTATGTTTTTTTTACATATTTTCAAATATAACAAAAAAAAAAAAAAGTAGATCAAAGTTTTTTTACACATTTTCAAATGTAAAAAAACAAAAAAGATCTACTTTTTTTACATACTTTCAAATGTTGAAAAAACGTATATATACGTTTGGACCGTTTACGGGTTAATATTGGTAGACTTACCGACAAAATGTTAAGTAAAAGGATACAAATGCAACTAATGTGACATTTCATTGTGGCAACGTTTTGCTCTCCAGGAGTTTTATCAAGCTTGACAAAGCTCCTGGAGAGCAAAACGTTGCCACAATAAAATGTTACATTAGTTGCATTTGTGTCCTTTTACTTAACTCTGAAAAGGTTCGTGCTGTAAACAAACCGAGATATTAGAATTTCCCAGTGAATTCATTAATTTTTTTTTTCTTATACATTGGGTGTCAAAAACATGTCCTCTGGGGTAGCAGACAAGCCACTCGCTACTCTTCCAACACTCACATTTGGTGTCAAAACGCGTCTTTTGGGGAATGCCGAATATGTGTGCGCGTATGTTGGCACAAGCCGTCACAAAGTCCATGGAGTCCTTATCGTCCTTATCCCACACGAGGTCCTCTCCTTCAGGCTTGCCCTGAGGGGAAATACTGCTCTTACTACACTATAACATCAGTTTAGGGTTAGGAACGTAGCTTTTCGGTTTATATAATTACAGTGGACCCCCGGCTTATGATATTATTTCATTCCAGAAGTATGTTCAGGTGCCATTACTGAACAAATTTGTTCCCATAAGGAATATTGTGAATTAGATTAGTCCATTTCAGACCTCTAAACATACACGTACAAACGCACTTACATAAATACACTTACATAATTCGTCACATTGGGAGCTGATCGTAAACCGGGGGTCCACTGTATTGAGATTCTATTCAATTTCAATCTAAAAATACAGTTTAGAGGAAGTTTGATTTAGAATTATGGTAATTTGTCCCCACACAATACCACCATGGAAAATGCATGAGCTTTTTAACACATCGGCTGTTTCCCAATGAGGCACGGTGACCCAAAAAAAGAAGAAACAATTCCATTATCACTCACTCTATCACCATGTTATTAGTAAAAAAATTTGTTGACTGGGGTGACCATTTGAAAGTTTTTAAATAAGTGTACATAATAAATCATGTTATTGAACACTTAATATACTTCTTGTACTTAATAATACACATCATCTTGTACTATATGATAAACATCACCATGATGTGTGTATCATATATTTCACCTTTAGTTGTGTAAAAATATCTTAACCTCTTATTATGCATCTCAAACCCATCTTGTGGGTGGTAAGATCACAGGTACATAAAGGGTCCAGGGCCTGTAACTCAACATTACAGAGGTACGTAACGGGTCAAGGGACTATAACTCAACATTACAGAGGTACGTAACGGGTCAAAGGACTATAACTCAACATTACAGAGGTACGTAACGGGTCAAAGGACTATAACTCAACATTACAGAGGTACGTAACGGGTCAAAGGACTATAACTCAACATTACAGAGGTACGTAACGGGTCAAAGGACTATAACTCAACATTACAGAGGTACATAATGGGTCCAGGGGCTTGGCCACAAAGTTTAGACAGTTAAACAAGTGTTATTACTGTTTACAAGTGGTAATTACTTTTTACAAGTGGTAGTTACTGTTTACAAGTGGTTAATTACTGTTTACGTGTTTATATCCGGTCACAATCGTAATGAGTTATGCAGACATGAATTAGGTCACACACACACACACACACACACACAAACATCTCACCTTCAGTTGTGTGTGAAGACTCCTTACTGCCGTTTCAAAAACATCTCGACACTGAGCGAGGGTCCAGGGTCGCTGGTCTTCAATAAGACCTTCTCCATTCTCACTGACGCCTGCAACAAAACAGGCCAAGTCTTTAATTACGGTAACGGTGATTTAGATATGAGATGTGTTAGGTTAGGTGTCAATATTGTGTAGCCAGACAACTTTCAGCGTTTTTTGTGACTGACATGAGAGCATTCAACACAGCCTGTGTGTTTATAAATGATACACAGAATGTTCTAAGCAGCATGTGTTTATGAATATACAGAACATTCTAGCTTGTGTTTACAAATGATATACATAAGAATGTGTGTTTATGAATGATATACAGAACAAACCACACCATGGGCAGGGATCGAACCCACGATTAGTCATTATAATTTCGTGAGATATACAGAGCATTCTAAGTAGCTTGTGTGGTTCTGCACATCAACAGCATTAGTGAAAATAATTACAAGCATCGCTGGAAGATGCGACACTCACTAGTACTGGGTAACTTGTCCCACTCTAGAGGTGTTGGTCGTCTTCGCTTCTCCCACAGCTTATCCATGGACAGTAGGTAGTGAATGTCGTCGTTGAAAAGTTTCCCAAACAATTTCTGTAGAGGAAAAACACTTGTGCAACACAGGTTCATGACAGTGCGATTTCTCTCATGCAACTTAGAATTTTCAGCTTCAGTTGTATTGAAAAACAGAAAATTTACACTCATATGGCTGTCTCCCACCAAGGTAGGGTGACCAGAAAAAGAAACACTTCCACTATCATTCATGCCAACACTATCTTATCAGAGGTATGCAGATATATATCAGTGATCTGAAAGCCTATGGGGCAGAACCCTTTCCCAAAAGACCATTTTTCAAGGGAAAGTGCGTGTTAGATATGAGTGAGTGGAGGCAAATGGTTTTCGTAATGATGTGCTGTTGGAGTGTAGAGAGAGTAACATTTATGATGGGATTCAGCAAAATTGGTTAGCTAGACTCGAGTCCTGGAGGTGGGAAGTACAGAGCCTACACTCTGAAGGAGGGGTGTTAATTTTGCAGTTTTATAACTGTAGTGTAGGCATACCTCTAGCAAGACAGTGATGGAGTGATTGATGATGAAAGTGTTTCTTCTCTTTTGGGTCACCCTGCCTCAATGGGAAACTGAAAGTGTTAATAATAATGAATAATAAAAAAAAAAGGGCCAAGGAAATGGAAGGTATTAGCCCTCATCTAAATTTACTCAGGGCCTTAAATTCACCAAACCCTTGTTGTAAAATAGATCGAAATCAACTCATTTGATCCAAGGAAGGGAAGGGAAATCTAATTTCCTGGATCAAGAGTCCTTCACCAATGACAAGGTCCTCCCATTCTTTATTTCAGTACAATCAATGGCTAAGCAGCAAGCCTAACAAAGTACCTTGGCATCGTAGTTATGTGAGACAGCCCAGCCTCGCGTGGACACCCTGTTAATGTTACCATGTTCGTTGGTCTCCGAGTCTAGAGCCGACTGGCCGGCATCTCCCACCTGTTCTGGGTCAGCCGAGTCAGGTGACACGTCCTCGTCTGGGTCTGCTTCCCCAAACAGCTGACTGTAGACAAATGATAAATGTGACATACATCACATTATAAACACAACATAAGTCGCAATGAACGACTGTCAGTGAACACTCGGAAAAATATAAGATAAGAACTTGTTTGGATTTTTAACACCTTAGGGTCAGCCACCTAGGATAACCCAAGAAAGTAAATGCATCACTGAGGACTGTCTGACTTATTTCCATTGTGGTCCTCAATCTTGTCCCCCAGGATGTGACCCACACCAGTCCACTGACACCCAGGTACCTACTTACTTGCTAGGTGAAGGGGGACAGTAGGTTTCCACCCATGCATGGAACTAGAAGCATGGTGCTTGCATATAACAAGTCCAATAATGCAATCACCAACACCTGAGTGGTCACTTTGACTTTCTTGGGTTATCCTGGTGGGTAATTTACTCACGTTACTACATATGATAATTTGTGTAACTGTATTTGTGTATACCTGTACCTAAATATACTTGTATGAGAATGGTGTGCAATACCGACAAGATGAAAATTAAGACATGTGCAACATCTGGGTATCTTTATTGTAGACGTTTCTCCATCCAGTGGCTTTATCAATACAAATTTTTTTTATTATTTATTAACACACTGGCCGATTCCCACCAAGGCAGGGTGGCCCGAAAAAGAAAAACTTTCACCATCATTCACTCCATCACTGTCTTGCCAGAAGGGTGCTTTACACTACAGTTTTTAAACTGCAACATTAACACCCCTCCTTCAGAGTGCAGGCACTGTACTTCCCATCTCCAGGACTCAAGTCCGGCCTGCCGGTTTCCCTGAACCCCTTCATAAATGTTACTTTGCTCACACTCCAACAGCACGTCAAATACAAATTCTAGGACATAATTTGAAGACAGTAGAACTATATACAAAAGAAGAGGTAATCTGTCCCTCAACTTTGGAGTTGGTGTGAAGAGAACCGTAGTCGTGACGATTCTGAATCTTCACAACACCATGGCTCTAACAGCTCTCATTTTTTTTAACACACTGGTTGTCTCCCACTGAGGCAGGTGACCCCAAAAAAGAAGAAGCACTTTCACCAGCATTCACTTTATCACTGTCTTGCCAGAGGGGCACAGAAATGAAAACTGCAAACTATCAGCCTTTCTGGTCATCAATGTTCTTTTTACCTCAATGGTTGTCTCCCATTAATTCCTTATATCAAGAGACCAGCATCAGAGCAAGACAGCTGTTTAATGAATGATGGTGAATGAGTTTTCCTTTTTTGGGCGACCATTCCCTAGTGGGAGACGACTAGTGTAAAAAAAAAATGACGAACCATTTACTGACAATTACTAAATGTAAGAAGACAATCTTTTTAAGGACATTTCCTACCAACAAAAATTTCTGAAAAGCGCTTATACTTTTTCGGGTCACCTTGCCTAAGTGGACGGCAGCCGGTGTCTGAAATCTAAAAAAAAAAAAAAAAAAAAAATTACTGACATCTGATCCCACCATTTTAACCCCAATTACTTACTTGAAAAGGTGCTTAGCCCAGACAATACAGTGTATGGGTTCTGATGGTGTGTTTCTGATTGTGCACCCGGGGAAGGTTTTCTGAGTGGGTTTGGGCTGACACTCGTAACATTCTGTTAAGCCTTTCTGGATCACCTGACAGAAAAGGAAAGAAATTGTTAACGAGAGTCGGAACAATGCTGCAACTTGCATGGGGATGGGAAAATAAAATAACCCGCACTTCGGAGAAAGAAGCTCATGACTAGGTTCCAGTCTGACTTGGACCATTAACAAGTCACACTAACACACGAAGGTGAGGGAGACAATATATAGTAAGTTCTTGACTAACAAACACATTGAGAATCTTCTGTATTGCGTATATCATTATTGTGTATATCATAGCAACACCTGCCGACACGGGTCTTCGGTAGGCGACAGCTAGCTCTGTGGCGAAACAATCACTGGCTTACCCAGTCTGTGAATCACTACCATATTTTCCCACACATACAGCACACAACAGAAGTATCATAATGACAAATCAGTAATTACATTTGAGGGCTAATATCCCCGATACTTTACGCTAAAGCGTAACCCTTGACCCTGACCTTGTGCATATAAGACACAGGCTGATTTTCCAAGACTTTTCATGGGGGGAAAAAGCGCACCTTATATGCCTGAAAATACGGCAATTACGCCACCATTTCATGACCAGTGTTAACTCACCGTGACCTGCCCTAGGTATCCCGCTGTGCCGCTCTCAACCAGAGGTACACCGGCAGCCAGACACATTCGGTTGACATGGTTACGTGCAGCTCTGTTGTCGAGAGCGTTCATCACCAGTGTGAACTTCTGATAGAATGAGACGCCATATGTGGATCTGCAGGAAAAAAGTTACCATTCAATCTATCTATAGTCAATTATTTTCACGACACAGAAGCAAACGGAATAACAATCATGTGGTTTTTCCGTGCCTAGACCAGTAGGCCTACTGCAGTGCTCATCTGTTCTTATACGTAAATTATTATTCACAGGGAGCACTACACCCGTCAGGGTCGTGCCTAGAGAGCGGATGAGTAACCAGTTTATCATACAAGAACGTGCTCCTCATACAGAACTCTACATTTATTTGAGAGGATAAACTTACATTCATTTATTTTCCGATACTCGTATTTAGAAAAAATATTTATTTGCTTATTCAACAGCAGTAGTTATTTATTAATGTACTTATTAGCATATTATATCCGGCTCTGATCCACCAGGAGGCCTGGTCACAGACCGGGCCGCGGGGGCGTTGACCCCCGGAACTCTCTCCAGGTCTCCAGGTAATATCTGGTTTACGATATTTCCAACTTAAGATAATTATACAAGGAATTTTGTTTTTTATTAAGATATCAGTCGTTTCCCACTGAGGGAGGGTGACCTGAAAAAGAAGAAACACTTTCATCATCATTTACTCGATCACTGTCTTGCCGGAGGTGCGCTTGCACTATAGTATAAAATTGCAACATTAACACCAGTCCTTCAGAGAGCCAGCGATGTACTTCCCACCTCCAGGACTCGAGTCCGGCTAACTGGTTTCCCCCGAATCCCTTCATAAATGTTACCTTGCTTACACTCCAACAGCACATCAAGTCATAAAAACCACTAGTCTCCGCTCACTCCTAACACGCTCACACATGCTTGCAAAATGAGGCTAGGGTGGATTAATACCCGAATAAATACTGTAATACCACATACATGTACATCAATCTTATTGACGTCATATTAGATTAATACATAAATAAATGATGTACACTGTATTACTGTATACATCAATCGCATTGAGGTTAGGTTGAATTGTTACACGAACCAAGTGTATGACTGCATACGTCAATCTTACTGACGTTACAATAATTTAATACATAAACAGTGTAATACTACATACACCAATCTTCCAGACGTCATATAAAATTAACCCTTAAACTGTCCAAACATAGATCTACGTTCACATGCGTAGCGATCCGAACGTAGATCTACATTTGTTTTAAGTGCTTTCAAATGGAGAAAATAAAGGTCGGAGCGTTACGCACGTAAATGTAGATCTACGTTTGGACAGTTTAAGGGTTAATACACAAACATACACTGTATTACCACATACAGTGGACCCCCGGTTTACGATCACCTCCCAATGCGACCAATTATGTAAGTGTATTTATATAAGAGCGTTTGTACATGTATGTCTGGGGGTCTGAAATGGACTAATCTAATTCACAATATTCCTTATGGGAACAAATTCGAACAGTAACGGCACCTGAACATACTTCTGGAATGAAATAATATCGTAAACCGAGGGTCCACTGTATATCAATCTTATTGACGTCATAATAAACACATGAATAAATGCTGTATCACAGTATACATCAATCCTATTGAGGTTATATTCAATTAATAAATAAATAAATACTGCATTTACCACATACGTAAATCAATCTTATTGATGTTACATTAAATTAATATGCGAAGAAACGCTGCATCACCGTATACGTCGATCTTACTTCATGATCGAGTCGTGATAAGCGTTGATGCAAGCCTTGGGGTTGAAGCGGAGCGCAGATTCCCGCGCCACCTCCGACTTGCTGCGTCCGACGTGCTGCTTCTGGAAGAGGAACTGACGGTTGAGGTTGCTGACGTCGATGGTGTCCAGATCGATCTGGAAAAGTGGAACGATCCGTCGGTATTAAGGTCGATTTTTGATCAGTTTGAAATGCTAGACCCACAGGGGTTATACAGCTGTATTAAGGTCGGTATTTAGTCGGTGGGAAGCGCTAAACCCATAGGGGTTACACAGCTGTATTTGGGTCGATTTGTCAATCGGCGGGAAGCGCTAAACCCACAGGGGTTATACAGCTATATTAGGGTCAATTTGTGTCAATCAGCAGGAAGTGCTAAACCCACAGGGTTTATACAGCTGTATTTAGGGTTGATTTTTAATTTAATCGGCGGGAAGCACTAAACCCACAGGGGTCAGACAGCTGTATTTAGGGTTGATTTTTAATTTAATCGGCGGGAAGCACTAAACCTGCAGGGGGAGGGGGGCAACACAGCTGCACTAGGGTGGCGTGGCGCCCCTCCCCCAGGATGCAACCCGTGACCGCAGATTGTCACCCGCATTACATTAGCCTCCAAAAAATCCCCCCCACGTTACTAGCTGCCTTTATTACACCTAATAGTATTATATTACACCCAAATTACATTTTATATATAGCAGAAAGGAATTAAAATTACATTATTATATTTGTAACATCTCCCCCCCCCCCAAGCGTCACCTCATTTCCCCTCATCTCACCACTTCTATGTCCTCAAACCCCGTTATAACGAGGTTCTTGAGTAGTTCGCAGCCTATTCCTCCAGCACCCACCACCAGAACCCTGCACGAGGCCACACACCCACGTAATTTCTCGTCAAATATGCCGGGGACGTGGGTCGCCATCCTTGTTGTTTACCGCCGACTCTCACCTCACTGCCGGATTATCCCGGATTATTGGTGGGCTTACAAGAACGCACTCACAGGCTTATTTCTGGAGTTTTTATGTTTTTTTTAACCTATTTTGGTATTTATGTAAATTTATTGAGTTGATAATTTTAGGAAATATCATCTTAAACGTTTATTAACCTGTTTCTGTCGGATTTTTGGTGAGTTTACAAGAACGCCCTCACAGGCTTATTTCTTGATTTTTTATGGTTTTTTTTAACCTATTTTGGTATTTATGTAAATTTATTAAGTTGTTAATTTTAGTAAATATTATTTTAAACACTTGTTTAACCTGTTTCTGTCGGATTCTTGGTGGGTTTACAAGAACGCCCTCACAGGCTTATTTCTTGATTTTTTATGTTTTTTTTTAACCTATTTTGGTATTTTTTGTAAATTTAATGAGTTGATAATTTTAGGAAATATCATCTTAAACATTATTTAGCCTGTTTCTGCCGGATTCTTCGTGGGTTTACAAGAACGCCCTCACAGGCTTATTTCTTGATTTTCTATAGTTTTTTGAACCTATTTTGGTATTTATGTAAATTTATCGAGTTGTTAAATTTAGAATATATCATTTTAAAACGCTCGTTTAACCTGCTTCCGCCAAATTCATGCGGATTCTTCATGAGCTTACAAGAACGCCCTTGCCACTTATTTCTCGAATTTCTATATTTTTAAACCCATTTTGGCATTTATATAAATTTATATAATTGATAATCTCATTAACTATCACCTTAAAAAATTCTTTTAACCTCGTTTAACTTGCTTCCGCCAGATTCATGCGGATTTTTGGTGAGCTAACAAGAACGCTCCTGCTGCTTATTTCTTGCATTTTTCTGTGTTTTGAACTTGTATAAATATTTATATAAATTTATCCACTTAGTAGCGCTAGTAAATGTATTTAAATAATATATTATAACACTGTTGTGACATCAAAGTCACCTTAACAAATTCTCGTTTCACCCATTTTCTACCAATTATATTTTATTTTAAACACGTTTAGGCATTCATATTAATTTATAAAGTTCTTTTTAACATACTAAAAAAGTAAAAATCAAGAAATATCGAATAAAATATATAAAAACTTTTTCTTGAAGGTACACTCCCCAAACACTCCTAGTTTTACCCTTATTTCCCTAACTTTTCCTGCGTTTAAAACATATTTGGGCATTTATATTTATTAACTGTATTATTTATGGCATATTGCAAAAATATAAACCCAGTAACTGTATCGAAAAGTATATAAATTAATTAAAAACATGACATCAGTGCTTGGGAATCCACATTCACTGCGGATTTTCAAGAACGTTTTGAAAGATAACGAGCACAAACTTTATTTATTACCCGAATTGTAATTTTGTTTATAAATACAGCGGATCATGATTTAAAATACATACGGTAAACTAAATAATAAATAAGTTCAGGTCACAGACCAGAACTTGAGGTAGGATGACCCTTGATGCTGGTTACAGACCAGAATTGATGGTAGGATGACCCTTGATGTTGGTTACAGACCAGAATTGATGGTAGGATGACCCTTGATGCTGGTTACAGACCAGAACTGGTGGTAGGATGACCCTTGATGCTGGTCACAGACCAGAACTGATGGTAAATGACCCCTGAAGCTGGTCACAGACCAGAATTGATGGTAGGATGACCCTTGATGCTGGTTACAGACCAGAATTGATGGTGGGATGACCCTTGATGCTGGTTACAGACCAGAACTGGAGGTAGGATGACCCTTGATGCTGGTTACAGACCAGAACTGGAGGTAGGATGACCTTTGATGCTGGTCACAGACCAGAACTGATGGTAAATGACCCTTGATGCTGGTTACAGACCAGAACTGATGGTAGGATGACCCTTGATGCTGGTTACAGACCAGAACTGATGGTGGGATGACCCTTGATGCTGGTCACAGACCAGAACTGATGGTAAATGACCCCTGAAGCTGGTCACAGACCAGAATTGATGGTAGGATGACCCTTGATGCTGGTTACAGACCAGAATTGATGGTGGGATGACCCTTGATGCTGGTTACAGACCAGAACTGGAGGTAGGATGACCCTTGATGCTGGTTACAGACCAGAACTGGAGGTAGGATGACCTTTGATGCTGGTCACAGACCAGAACTGATGGTAAATGACCCTTGATGCTGGTTACAGACCAGAACTGATGGTAGGATGACCCTTGATGCTGGTTACAGACCAGAACTGATGGTGGGATGACCCTTGATGCTGGTCACAGACCAGAACTGATGGTAAATGACCCCTGAAGCTGGTCACAGACCAGAATTGATGGTAGGATGACCCTTGATGCTGGTTACAGACCAGAATTGATGGTAGGATGACCCTTGATGCTGGTCACAGACCAGAACTGATGGTAGGATGACCCTTGATGCTGGTTACAGACCAGAACTGATGGTAGGATGACCCTTGATGCTGGTTACAGACCAGAATTGATGGTAGGATGACCCTTGATGCTGGTCACAGACCAGAATTGATGGTGGGATGACCCTTGATGCTGGTTACAGACCAGAACTGGAGGTAGGATGACCCTTGATGCTGGTTACAGACCAGAACTGGAGGTAGGATGACCCTTGATGCTGGTTACAGACCAGAACTGATGGTAGGATGACACTTGATGCTGGTCACAGACCAGAACTGATGGTAGGATGACCCTTGATGCTGGTTACAGACCAGAACTGATGGTAGGATGACCCTTGATGCTGGTCACAGACCAGAACTGATGGTAGGATGACCCTTGATGCTGGTTACAGACCAGAACTGATGGTAGGATGACCCTTAATGCTGGTCACAGACCAGAACTGATGGTAAATGACCCCTGAAGCTGGTCACAGACCAGAATTGATGGTAGGATGACCCTTGATGCTGGTTACAGACCAGAACTGATGGTAGGATGACCCTTGATGCTGGTCACAGACCAGAACTGATGGTAAATGACCCCTGAAGCTGGTCACAGACCAGAACTGATGGTAGGATGACCCTTGATGCTGGTCACAGACCAGAACTGATGGTAAATGACCCCTGAAGCTGGTCACAGACCAGAATTGATGGTAGGATGACCCTTGATGCTGGTTACAGACCAGAACTGATGGTAGGATGACCCTTGATGCTGGTCACAGACCAGAACTGATGGTAGGATGACCCTTGATGCTGGTCACAGACCAGAACTGGTGGTAGGATGACCCTTGATGCTGGTCACAGACCAGAACTGATGGTAGGATGACCCTTGATGCTGGTCACAGACCAGAACTGATGGTAGGATGACCCTTGATACTGGTCACAGACCAGAACTGATGGTGGGATGACCCTTGATACTGGTCACAGACCAGAACTGATGGTAAATGACCCCTGAAGCTGGTCAAAGACCAGAACTGATGGTAGGATGACCCTTGATGCTGGTCACAGACCAGAACTGATGGTAGGATGACCCTTGATGCTGGTCACAGACCAGAACTGATAGGATTATCCTTGAAGCTGGTCACAGACCAGAACTGATGGTAGGATGACCCTTGATGCTGGTCACAGACCAGAACTGATGGTAGGATGATCCTTGAAGCTGGTCACAGACCAGAACTGATGATAGGAAAACCCTTGAAGCTGGTCACAGACCAGAACTGATGGTAGGATGACCCTTGAAGCTGGTCACAGACCAGAACTGATGGTAGGAAGACCCTTGAAGCTGGTCACAGACCAGAACTGATGGTAGGATGACCCTTGATGCTGGTCACAGACCAGAACTGATGGTAGGACGGCACTTGAAGCTGGTCACAGACCAGAACTGGTGGTAGGATGACCCTTGAAGCTGGTCACAGACCAGAACTGGAGGTAGGACGACCCTTGAAGCTGGTCACAGACCAGAACTGGTGGTAGGATGTCCCTTGAAGCTGGTCACAGACCAGAACTGGAGGTAGGATGACTCTTGAAGCTGGTCACAGACCAGAACTGGAGGTAGGATGGCCCTTGAAGCTGGTCACAGACCAGAACTGGTGGTAGGATGACCCTTGAAGCTGGTCACAGACCAGAACTGATGGTAGGATGACCCTTGAAGCTGGTCACAGACCAGAACTGGTGGTAGGATGACCCTTGAAGCTGGTCACAGACCGGAACTGGTGGTAGGATGACCCTTGAAGCTGGTCACAGACCAGAACTGGTGGTAGGATGACCCTTGAAGCTGGTCACAGACCAGAACTGGTGGTAGGATGACTCTTGAAGCTGGTCACAGACCAGAACTGGTGGTAGGATGACCCTTGAAGCTGGTCACAGACCAGAACTGGTGGTAGGATGACCCTTGAAGCTGGTCACAGACCAGAACTGGTGGTAGGATGACCCTTGAAGCTGGTCACAGACCAGAACTGGTGGTAGGATGACCCTTGAAGCTGGTCACAGACCAGAACTGGTGGTAGGATGACCCTTGAAGCTGGTCACAGACCAGAACTGGTGGTAGGATGACCCTTGAAGCTGGTCACAGACCAGAACTGATGGTAGGATGACCCTTGAAGCTGGTCACAGACCAGAACTGGAGGTAGGACGACCCTTGAAGCTGGTCACAGACCAGAACTGGTGGTAGGATGTCCCTTGAAGCTGGTCACAGACCAGAACTGGAGGTAGGATGGCCCTTGAAGCTGGTCACAGACCAGAACTGGTGGTAGGATGACCCTTGAAGCTGGTCACAGACCAGAACTGATGGTAGGATGACCCTTGAAGCTGGTCACAGACCAGAACTGGTGGTAGGACGACGCTTGAAGCTGGTCACTGCCGTCTCACACCAGGAAATGCGGGAAATTCCCCAGAAATCTGGCCACCCATTTCCCTGAATCTTGATTCCCCATTTCCAAAACTTTCCCAAAATCCTCTTCCCATTTATTAAGTGTAAAATAGGTAAGTAATGTTTTATTGTCGAAGGCCAAGTCCTTCTTGTAGGAGTGTCTGACCACTCCAACTGTTGGTGCTAGCAGTGCAATGG